ATTTAAGCCTCTTACTGTAGTTTTTAAATTACATTTATGCGGATTGATGTTTCAAGGCTTTCAGATTTTAATTTTAAATTCTGAAATAATTAAGAACAGCGTCATCTACCCTTCACATTTGAAACAAAATTTAATTCGGTTTAAATTTGTAAAAGTTGATGTTGATTATTATTACACTGTAACGCAGCGTTCCGTTTCGCGGGGCAACAGCAGCCAAAGGGAATGTGACTCAGGTCCGTGCCGCGACGACCCACCCCGCGCTACCCGCGCCCGCGCATCTGTTGCATCATTCGCACCCCCAATTATGGCAATTAGTGCGCGCCAGACTTTGAAGCGGAATACACGTGTCCCCGGTCGATACCGGAACTGACAACCCGAGAGTCTCATGCCAGTCGGGCACCTAACATTAAACTGGCAGCCCAAGCGCGGGCCCTTTAACTAGTATTTCGGAGTGAATCTACGTAATTACGACACGTACTCGTCGTCAGTCACGGCGTCAATCCGATTTTCAAGACGTTGAAGAAGAAATTGGTTCAACCGCGAGACCGACGCCAACATTTACCGCAAACAACATGGCGTCATTACAAGAAAGTCAAATGGCAGCATTCGAACGCCTACTCGACCGAGTTTTTGAGCATAAAACTCAACTCGAATCATCAGCAACACCGACGTCGGAGCCGACATCGCCGCCTTCCTCGACGCCCGCTCACCATTCTGGGAACTTCGCGTCATGCACGGCGCGGTTCGGACTCACTCGACGGTTTCCTTGACGCGGTCGAATCATACAAAGATTGTGCTGACGTAGGACACGCCATCGCGTTATGAGGACTCTCGATGTTACTAAACGGAAATGCAGCCATGTGGTGGCAAGGCGTTAAAGCTAGCATCACTTCCTGGGACGACGCTTTATCATCGTTACAAAGCGCTTTCGGTGATTGCAGACCGCCCCATCGAGTCTACTTAGAGCTCTTCAAAATGTCGCAAGGACAAAGAGAGAAGACGGAGATCTTCGTTGCCAGAGCACGAGCCCTGCTAGCTCGACTCCCACCTGGTGACCTTAGTGAGAAAGTTCAAATTGATATGCTTTACGGCCTTCTACACCGTCGTGTTCGTAAAAGATTAAGAAGAGACGAAATAACTTCATACGACACGTTATTAAAGAAAACGCGCCATATCGAGGACTCCATCTACGAGACCAGTCCGCCTGAATTTATTCATCATCCTCAGCGAGCGACGCCACGTTCATCGGGTAGTACCGTAGGCGAAGTTCCCGCCGGTGCTTCGACTTCGGCGCGGATGACGCCGCGGAAAATATTCAACTCGGGCGCCGCTGGCGGCCCGCCACGCGACGACAGCGCTGCGCCGAGCACCGTTCGAGTCCCCGCGCCTCGCTACACGAACCCTGATAATGTATCATCTACGTCGATTGTTAAAAGACTGTTCTGTGTTTATTGCAAAAAGTACGGACATATTCGTTATGAGTGTTTAAAATTAGCGTCAAAAACGAAATTCGACAACGAAAATACGCAAGCTGTATCCTCGTGTTACGGGTGTGGTACCAAAGCTGTTACTCGGTCTCAGTGTACAAAGTGTAACGCAAGTTATTACGCTGTCGACGCTGCACGGACCCGATCAGTCACATCCGATTTACCTATTGGTAAAGTAAATAAACAGCTGTCAAGTTCAGTGAACTCTATTCATCGTGACAGCTCGTTGCATACAGCTTGCACTTCAAACACCGTAAAGTCGTCCATTTTTATTAATAATCGTAAACAATGTTTTGTTGATAATGAAAATAATTATTATCCTAACGATTTTAAGGCGATTCTTCCCCCGCGCTTTTTCGGTACTGATAACAAGGTTAGACTTCAAAATTATTCTAGACTTAATCATAATATAAACAATAATATTAGTTCTAGGAATAGGCCCCTGATGCGTTACTCGAGTGGTACCAAACCAAAATATAGTTATTCCGAGGTACCAAGTGGCCGCGATAGGGTGACCATGATGAAACGAAAATAGGGTGGCCATGGAAAACGTCGGACATTTTTCGACAATTAATTCTAATGTGAAAAGTGTTGCCCAGAGTAACTCTACTGAGCACCAGGTTAGGTTAAGACCAATTTTAAGTGTTCAAATGTTAGGTATACGAGGTAATGCTTTGTTGGATACGGGAGCTAAGAGTAGCGTTGCCGGAGCGTTGCTTTATGAATTGCTGTTAAAGCATACCATCCGTGTGAGGAAACCAGGCGTCGGGTGAGGCTTGCAGACGGTTCCGCGCGCACCCGCCGAGTTTTGCTCACTACTCTAGAAGTAAGGATAAGTCCCGAAAGGTCAGTAACCCTTGAATTTACTGTTTTTCCAGATGCTCAAAATAATGAAACTTTGCTTGGCATGGATTTTTTGGTGGCGGCAGGTATTGTGCATGACTTTGCTTCATCCACTTGGCATTTTTCGGGAAAACGGGTTACCTATCCAATTGAATATGAGTGCCCTAAGCCATGCATGTTTGCTTCTACTGCTGACTTCCTGCGTGATGATAAGGGTTCTATGCTTGGCTCCGATGAACGGCAGCAGCTATCACATTTATTGCAGCAGAATGGAGACATCTTTAGGGTGGGGGGAGCCCCAACCCTTTACGCCGAGCACCACATTGATACCGGTGATCATCCGCCTATATCGGTACCGCCGTATAGGCTCACTCCTGTGCTTCAACAGCGAGGAGAGGTTCTCGCAATCGATTTGTTCAGGCCACTGCCAGAAGGAGAGCAGGGGGAGCGATGGGTACTCCTGGTAGAGGATGTAGCTACAAGATGGGTAGAACTCTACGCACTTGTTGATGCCACCGCCGTGGCTTGCTCCCGAGTCCTACCGGAAGAGTATTTCCTTCGTTATGGCTTGCTTATGCGTCTAGGGGTGTAACACGTAAGTTCATGCCACGACGGGATGGCCCGTATCGCGTAGTAAAGATAGTTAGTCCTACAACGTACTTCATAGCAGACTTGTCAAACAATGTCATCGGCAAGTATCACACCGCGGATTTAACCCACTCCGTCAAATTCAAGTACGGATCCAATTATGCCAAAGAGGCAGAGAGGAAGGCCGCGTCTTCAGACTAACAGTCCCAAGTTGGACTCGGGACGCGTTCCCAACTTGGAGGGGGAGTATATAACGCAGCGTTCCGTTTCGCGGCGCAACAGCAGCCAAAGAGAATGTGACTCAGGTCCGTGCCGCGACGACCCACCCCGCGCTACCCGCGCCCGCGCATCTGTTGCATCATTCGCACCCCCAATTAGTGCGCGCCAGACTTTGCATTAAAACACTAATTAATTGAGCGTTTCATTAGCTTTTAAGCTGAGTGACTATTTATAATTTATTTTTATTAAGTAATAAATGAGCAAAAAATAATACATTAACAAAAAGATATGAAATCCGAACAAAAACAGTTTCACTGTAAAAAATTGCGCCAAGTCCACGTTTATAAAACTCATCTCAATAACATTTGCACTTTACAGACTTCAATAGCTTTCATTCTCTACAAAAATAGTATACAAAAATACCAAGAAACCGTCATAAAGATGAAAAAATTAAAAAAAAATTGTTGAAAATTTAAAAATAAAAAAATAAAAATTTTATCGTGCTTGGCGCCCGCGTCTGGAGTACAAATTTTCTCGAACAATTTCAACGAGAAAAAAACCATTTTGCTTTAATATACAGTGAAAGCTGAAAAAGTTACCCAGGTTGTCTTTTTCGCTCTTGTTAGCGTTTTATGAGAAATTGAGACAGAACTACGGTAATTTTCAACAGCTCTCACTATAAACTCACTGCAGCCTGACGTGGGCGCGAGTGGGAGCGGATCAACATCCGAGCCACTCATCCGTCGACCCTTCTCACGCATTCGACCTGGTTCTCTTCCTCGTCACTCCTCTTCTCACCACAACGCACAGCGGACGCCCGACGCCCCGACGGCGCCACACACCACACAGCACGCCACACGCACTGAACAGAATTAATAAAGTTTCAGCTGAATCTAAAGGGGTCGGACGCAAAGTGGTCGATTTGGCATATAATAGCCCATAGGTATATAGTGAGAGCTGTTGAAAATTACCTAGTTCTGTCTCAATTTCTCATAAAACGCTAACAAGAGCGTAAAAAGGACAACCTGGGTAACTTTTTCAGCTTTCACTGTATATTAAAGCAAAATGGTTTTTTTTCTCGGGTTGAAATTCTTCCGAAAAATTTTGGGGTACTCAATGACGCGCGCCAAGCACGATAAAATTTTTATTTTTTTATTTTTAAAGTTTTCCAACGTTTAAATTTTTTTCTCATCTGTCTTTCTCTTCTATGACGTTTCTTGATTGTTGGTTCTGCTATTACACGCCCTGATTGTGTCAGAGAATGACACGCTATCGAAGCTTCTTTTTTTGTCAAAGTGCTTGGTATTTTTTTGTATTTCACATATTTTTGTAGAGAATGAAAGCTATTGAAGTCTTCTTTTTTTTGTAAAGTGCAAATGTTATTGAGATGAGTTTTATAAACGTGGACTTGGCGCAATTTTTTACAGTGAAACTGTTTTTGTTCGGATTTCATATCTTTTTGTTAAGTATTATTTTTTGCTCATTTATTACGTAATAAAAATAAATTATAAATAGTCACTCAGCTTAAAAGCTAATGAAACGCTCAATTAATTAGTGTTTTAATGTTAGGTGCCGGACTGGCATGAGACTCTCGGGTTGTCAGTTCCGGTATCGACCGGGGACGCGTGTATTCCGCTTCAAAGTCTGGCGCGCACTAATTGGGGGTGCGAATGATGCAACAGATGCGCGGGCGCGGGTAGCGCGGGGTGGGTCGTCGCGGCACGGACCTGAGTCACATTTTCTTTGGCTGCTGTTGCCCCGCGAAACGGAACGCTGCGTTACATACTCCCCCTCCAAGTGGACGCGTTCCCAGCGTCCCGAGTCCAACTTGGGACTGTTAGTCTGAAGACGCGGCCTTCCTCTCTGCCTCTTTGGCATAATTGGATCCGTACTTGAATTTGACGGAGAGCGGGTTAAATCCGCGGTGTGATACTTGCCGATGACATTGTTTGACAAGTCTGCTATGAAGTACGTTGTAGGACTAACTATCTTTACTACGCGATACGAGCCATCCCGTCGAGGCATGAACTTACGTGTTACACCCCTAGACGTATAAGCAAGCCATAACGAAGGAAATACTCTTCCAGTAGGATTCGGGAGCAAGCCACGGCGGTGGCATCAACAAGTGCGTAGAGTTCTACCCATCTTGTAGCTACATCCTCTACCAGGAGTACCCATCGCTCCCCCTGCTCTCCTTCTGGCAGTGGCCCGAACAAATCGATTGCGAGAACCTCTCCTCGCTGTTGAAGCACAGGAGTGAGCCTATACGGCGGTACCGACATAGGCGGATGATCACCGGTATCAATGTGGTGCTCGGCGTAAAGGGTTGGGGCTCCCCCCACCCTAAAGATGTCTCCATTCTCCTGCAATAAATGTGATAGCTGCTGCCGTTCATCGGAGCCAAGCATAGAACCCTTATCATCACGCAGGAAGTCAGCAGTAGAAGCAAACATGCATGGCTTAGGGCACTCATATTCAATTGGATAGGTAACCCGTTTTCCCGAAAAATGCCAAGTGGATGAAGCAAAGTCAAGCACAATACCTGCCGCCACCAAAAAATCCATGCCAAGCAAAGTTTCATTATTTTGAGCATCTGGAAAAACAGTAAATTCAAGGGTTACTGACCTTTCGGGACTTATCCTTACTTCTAGAGTAGTGAGCAAAACTCGGCGGGTGCGCGCGGAACCGTCTGCAAGCCTCACCCGACGCCTGGTTTCCTCACACGGATGGTTATGCTTTAACAGCAATTCATAAAGCAACGCACCGGCAACGCTACTCTTAGCTCCCGTATCCAACAAAGCATTACCTCGTATACTTAAAATTTGAACACTTAAAATTGGTCTTAACCTAACCTGGTGCTCAGTAGAGTTACTCTGGGCAACACTTTTCATATTAGAATTAATCGTCGAAAAATGTCCGACGTTTTCCATGGTCACCCTATCGCGACCACTTGGTACCTCGGAATAACTATGTTTTGGTTCGGTACCACTCGAGTAACGCATCAGGGGCCTATTCCTAGAACTAATATTATTGTTTATATTATGATTAAGTCTAGAATAATTTTGAAGTCTAACCTTGTTATCAGTACCGAAAAAGCGCGAAGGAAGAATAGCCTTAAAATCGGTAGGATAATAATTATTTTCATTATCTACAAAACATTGTTTACGATTATTAATATAAATGGACGACTTTACGGTGTTTGAAGTGCAAGCTGTATGCAACAAGCTGTCGCGATGAATAGAGTTCACTGAACTTGACAGCTGTGTATTTACTTTACCAATAGGTAAATCGGATGTGACTGATCGGGTCCGTGCAGCGTCGACGGCGTAATAACTTGCGTTACACTTTGTACACTGAGACCGAGTAACACCTTTGGTACCACACCCGTAACACGAGGATACAGCTTGCGTATTTTCGTTGTC